ATACTGCTCGTCCAATGTATTCCAAGTGTCCTGAGTGGGTAGCATCCAGAATTTACTCGAAACAAAGTCATTTAGAATGTTTTTAGAGCATAAACAGTAGTGTATAGGATTTCCTGAAAGCGCGTTCACGACGCTACGGAAACCGCGGCAGACCAAACCAGATGAAAGTGCGCATTCAGCTCGGCAAAGAACTCATGCTCTTCCTCAACACTGAAGTCCTCAGACATTTTTCTTTCGTTGTTTCTTTCTTTGCACAGGTAAACAGCACATTTCTTCTTCTACGCTTGCATTATTGGCAGAGCAGACGCTGAATGCACACTTTCATCTGGTTTGGTCTGCCGGCTTCCGTAGCGTCATGAACGAGCATGCGCGCGCTTTCAGGAAATCCTATACACTACTGTTTATGCTCTAAAAACATTCTAAATGACTTTGTTTCGAGTAAATTCTGGATGCTACCCACTCAGGACACTTGGAATACATTGGACGAGCAGTATGGAGGAATATTGACACGTTTTTTGTGGACTTTTATGGACCTTTCTGTCTCGGGCGCCATAGACCTCCATTATTTGAATGTCAGCAGACAGCAAGAAGCCTCCCAGATCTCCAGATGCATTTGAGATATCAAAAAAGTACTCCAGAGTGTTGTTCAGCATGGGGGTGAGTAGAAAATGAAGGCTAATCATGTTTTGGGTGTACTATTCCTTTAATAGAGCTTCCCCTTTATACATTGACTTGCAATTACTTAGTTCACCAAAAACATTTTATTTCAGTTTGGTTATCAATCAGGTAAAACAATTGTTTATTAGACACGCTAACACTACACCTGCACCTGAGTCGGCACACGGATGCTGCATTATGGTTTTGACGTTGTCTGGGTAACCACGATATTTGACGTCATCATAGCAACGTTCAGCCCATCATATAGTGTAACGTCACTGGGCCTGAGCAGATCTGACGGCCGGTAGCTGATCTAGTAGCTACACTGGTTAATAATATGGGACATTTTGGTTTATAATAGTGAGGAAGTTTCACCAGGACAATGGTACGGATGAGGTTGGAATCTATTATTAATAAAGTTAAATTCACTTTAGTATCTCTGATCAAAACTGCAAGCGCTGTGCTAATAAAATGATTCCTTAGGAGGGTATTTCATAACCTGACTCCGCCAGATGGATTTGCTCCGCATATCCATCTGAAACCTTCCGTTGAAGTAATTTTGGGAAGGGGCGAAAATACTGGTTAGCTGATTGGCCTATGTTGGTGATAGACGCGCTTCTCGTTGCGTCACATCTCAACCCGCTTCAAAGCCAACGCTGATTGGACGTTCGTTTGGTAAACGGCTCCAAATTTTCTTTAACGGAATGTAGCCAGACTGATCTGCGAGTGAAACCTTGAAAGCTCGCGAGATCAGGATGGTCTCACGAGGCTAGGTATTTCAAGCTTTCTGTAGAGATTTGCCTATCTGTTGTCTTCCAAGAAAAAATACAGTTTAAAATGTTTGCAAAACAGCTATTAGTGAAATTAAGTAATATATGTTTTACTATTCCTGACCAATTGCTGCATGATGTAGTAATATTTTAAATAAAATTCTGTTAAATTTCACAAAGACGTTGATTGATATTGATTGGTTCATATTTTATTTTCAGACATACAGGTATACAATAAATGATTTTATATATCTTTGTAACAAAAACAAAATTAGTCTGAAAAGGGTGTATTGACAGAGAGAATAAGCTTATAATACCCACCCTCCAAAACCAAGTCACATTGGACTAGAAAAGAAAAAATACTTAAGTCGTTTTTGGTGATATTATGATAAATCAGTTAACTGCATCATACTGTGGTGATGTTTGTGTTTTATAATGTAGCCTGTGACTTGTGGAAATAGACTGACAACATAAACTTTGTGTGCAGCACAAGTGTTACATCCTGGCCACTGTGGACAGAGATCTTAAGAGACGAGTCAGGAAGATACCCGGGGTTCCCATCATGTACATCTCAAATCACAGGTAATTTTGCAATGTTGTCTCAGAATCTGAAAACTTTGGAGATTTTAGCATTAAAACTAAATTAACAACCTTGCTTTTGCTAATATATTTCCTTTCATTTGCAGGTATAATATTGAAAGGATGCCTGACGACTACGGTGCTCCAAGGTTTTAATATTTCTGTCATGTGTACATAGACTGAAGATTCCTATTGACTGTAGTTTCTCTTTATGCTTAATAAAATTCAGAGGTCTTGATGCTTAAACGAGTGGATGTATTATTATTTTAGCTTATCAGGTTCACTATGTTCTGTGATCATCTTTTTTTTTTTCCCGATTCGATTTATGATTAAATCATGCACTGAACTGTTGTAAAATGTATTTTAACTGGAGCAAAAACATTGATACTAAATAAGTGGCAAAAATTAATTCTAAAAAAACCTTCAAATATTCCTGACTTCTCAAATAAAACTGTCAAGTTTATTTAATTAGATTAAAGAGTGAAGTTCATTGATTTATTACACATACACTGAGGTATTCTAATAGGTTATTTATGTGAATTTTGATTTTCGTGTTCATTATGGTTGCTAAAGTACCCAAATTTAATTTAGCAGAAAGTTAAAATACACAACTGTGTATTCTACTGCCAGAGATGTAACATTTAAATAGGGCACATTGTCCAACACAGAAGAGCGACATCCAAGACTCATAACTACATCTACACCTTGTGGACAAAGGACATTGTTTTGAGGACCAGAATGTTCACATCTATGTTAAGAAAGAAAAACCAACCTCAAACAGAGGGGTTTGTTTATCAAGGGTCAAAACTTAAATCTTCTATTCATCTTTTCATAATAGCTCCAAGATAGGAAACTTGTGAATTAACAGGGATGTAAGGATACGTTTTATTGCAGATCAAGATGGGAAACTACAAATTTTTTTAAGATTAGTGGTCTGAAGCGTCTGATCAGAACCTCTCAGAAAAAATGTAGTGTGATGGGCAACTTGACTGAGAATGTATTTATTTATTTGAGCAACAGAGTTTGTTTTTACCTAAAAAGAATAGGCAGAAACAAAAGCTTATTTTTCCTACCATATTAAAAGATGGGTAACATGCGTTTCACAAAGCACTAAAGTCTTTTCCTTATTAGCAATTAAAAAAACCTGCTATATTGCTTTCAAAGAATATAGCTTATGTAACAAGAAGTTGGGTTGAGAACAGGAATAAATGTGAAATCTAGATGCTTCTGATGAGGTACTGAAATCATTTGATGGAGGTGTCCCTGGAGCAGAGACACATCTTAAAAATCCACGTAAGTGGGTACTGTGTACAAAGGTTTGGAGCAACTGCTTTTTTAATGGAAATCTGTGACAGTTCTATATTTTAGTTTAATATTACAGAATCTTCCTTGCACAACGTTTGAATATATTCAAATACAAAAAATGCCCTAAACCTCCATGACTGAATGAAACCTGCTCTAAAGAACTGAAAGAACACACACACACACACATATATATATATATATATATATATATAGCTATGATCAAATCAGTTTGAATAGTCTTTTGATTAGACTAGTCAGACTAGTCTTATGATGTGTCTAAGTCTGGTTGAAATTCCTCAGTAAATGAAGAGAGGGTAGAGGGTCCTTTCAATTATTTTTGGCTTTGCAAGTATGTTAGAGTCATGATTAAGTAAACAGATGGACCTCCAATTGTCAATGATTAATTTGCTTTACCAGCCTTATAATGCCTTGAGGTAGAGTGGGCTATAGGGGGTTAATCCTCCTTGGTTAATTATTATAGAAAAGGTATTAAGAACAAATTAATTAATTTATACGGTGGCCCAGAGGTGTCAACACTAATCCAAAAGCTGCAGCGTAAATACAAATCCTGCAAAATAAATCAAAAAGCTGCAACAGAAATACAAATGCTGCAACGCAATAGGTCCAGAGGTGTCAACACTAATACAAATCCTGTAAAAATAAATCAAAAAGCTGCAACTTAAATACAAAAGCTGCAACGCAATAGACCCAGAGGTGTCAACACTAATACAAAAGCTGCAACGCAAATACAAATCCTGCAAAATAAATCAAAAAGCTGCAACACAAATACAAATGCTGCAACGCAATAGCCCCAGAGGTGTCAACACTAATACAAAAGCTGCAACATAAATACAAATGCTGCAACACAAATACAAATGTTGCAACGCAAATACAAAACCTGCAACACAAATACAAAAGCTGTAACACTAATACAAAAACCGTAACACAAATACAAAAGAGGCAGTAGAAATACAAAAGGGGCAACACAAATACAAAAGCCGCAACACAAATACAAAGGCCACATCACAAATATAAAAGACGCAACAGAAATACAAAAGGCGCAATCTTTTGTAATGTGATTTACAAAAGAGATTATTGTTCTTTTTTGAAATAAATTTTATGTTAATTTTTATTTATTTTTTTGTTGTGTCTAACTAAAGGGTTTTTGTCCTTAAAATTTTGTCTAAATTTCAAATGTGAATATTTGTTTTTTATTATATATGTAAATATATATACCGTAAATTCTCTAATATAGGCCCGGGCCTTTATTTCACTCAAGTGCATCGCGGTCCAGGCCTTTATTGGATAGAGGCCA